GGTACCACGGTGTCAGTGACCTTTCTGTCTCCCCCAGAAGTGCAAGTAAAAGACTTAGGATGTCTCACCTGTAGATGCAACAATTGCCACTTCTGTACTGTTGACACCATTCCTCTCAGCCCAGACAGTGAAGTTGTACAAGGTCCCAGCTTCCAGTTCCTTCACTGTGATACTGGTATCTGAGGTGTTTTGGGTTCCACCTGTGATGTTCTCCCTTAACCACTGGACCCAGTAGGTGTAGGGTGGTTGGTCTGGGACCTGGGGAGCTGTCCAGGTCAACGTGATGGAGCTATTGGTCCGATTTTGCATCCTGAGACTTGTCACTGGATTAAGTCCTAGCAGAGGGAACAGAGTCTAAAGATGCCATACCCTCCAGTCCCCAAGTGACCAGAACAAAGTGATTTTCTCTTTTCTTGCACACCCTGATGGTTAAGAAATATTTCCTATAAAGGGCCATAGAGCGGCCTGACCTCTTGCAGCCCATATTCTGTGACAGGAAGCTTCTGGAATGTTCTCTTCTTCCTACATAGATAATTCACACAAGGGCCCAGGTTCAAATCCATCCACCCCCTCCAATGCACTGCACCCTATAGGGGTAGCTCCATTAGTCTGAACCCTGGGGAACAGCCCAGTTCAGAGTGATGGAGCTGTTGGTCAAAACCTTCAAACTGGGAGCTCCTACTGGGTTGGGGACTGAAAAATGGGAAGAATGATTTGCTGTGATCAGAGGAACAACTAGGTACTGTCCGTTCAACCACCCCAGGTCTTGCCCCAAGTCCAGAATTGACAACTACCATCAGCCCCTGCAATGATCCTCATGGTGAACCCCCAGAAGGACCATGGGAACTGAGGTCCAGCCTCCGTGTGTGGGCAGTGAACACAGGCAGGGATCACTCACCGTCTGCCCTGGCCCCTGTCCAGATCCATAAGCCCTGAGGAGAGCCCAGAGAGGGAGGAATGAGATCCTGAGCCTCCCCTTCCTCCACCCGGGTGACAATCGCTGTGGTGGGTGGGGCCCTTAACCCCATGAGTCACCCCTACCTGGGTTCTGACAAAGGTCACCCCAACGTCAGTGTTTCTAAAGTGGGACTGTGGCAAGAGGTGGGGCTCCAAGGACCCAAGTGCTGGGGTTGCTTGACCGATAAGGCCCAGAGATAAGGTGATTAGTTACACTTCCCTAAATAGCTAGCTTTGGAAGAGTGGGGGTAGGGAAGAAATCAACAAATTGGGAAGAAGGAAAGAGACTGGGGTGAGGTTCCTGGGTCTGAGGAGGTGGGTCTGGAGGCCTGTGAAATAGAGGAGCTGCCCACCTGGTCTACTGGCTCTGAGTGTCTACTGGGTTCCTGGTCTGAGGGAGGAAGGGCTGGGATTGGACTCCTAGGTCTGAATTGGAGGGGGCTGGGGGTCAGGACTCCTGGGTCTGAGAGAAAAGGAGCTGGGGGTCAGGACTCGCGACTCTGGAGGAGAAAGGTCGAGGCCCTCAATCCCTAAGTTCTCGGGGACAAGGGACTGGAGCATTGGTCTCTATTGTGGCAGAAAAGGGGCCCGGGGTCCAGAATGGTAGGTCTTTGGAGCATACTGGTATCTTGCCTGAACTGGAGTTCACTCTTACACCGATGCTGCAACAGCTAGGAGCCCAGGTGTAAGTCTGTCCACAGCTCCCTCCACCCTAGACCCTTCTTCCTGCTCCAAGGAATGATCAGCCTCGCCTCCCCCCGACTCAGGACCCCTACCCCATGGGGAGCACTCACCAGCACCACCAGGCACCCCCAGGCCCTGGGGTCCCTGCTGGCCCCAGGCATGTCTCCAGACTCCGCGGAGGACCCAGGAGCTGCAGCAGCCCGGGCACCTTCCACCTCCTGGACTTTCAACTCAAGAATTTCCCCTTTCCCAGCCCACTGGTGGGGCCACAGGCCAGGGCAGGAAGGGGAGGAGGAGGAAGTGGAGGCTTTAGGGGTGACAGCCTCACTCCAGCCCTGCCTCTCCTCCTCCTGCACCTCGGCCTCTCATCTTGACGTGGCCGATGTCCCTGCTCCAGCTGACCACAGCGCAGACCAAACAGGGAGGAAACTGGGAGGGGTCCATCTCCCCAATAGACAATTACACATCAAGTCAGGTGTTATGGAGTGAATTCTGTCCCCCAGAATATGTGCTGTAACTCCTCGCCCCTATGCTGGTGGCCAGGGAGCCCTGGTGGAGCAGTGGTTAGGAGCTTGGCTGTTAACCAAAAGGTTAGTGGTTTGAACTCACCACCTGATAGGCAGGAAAAGATGTGGCAGTCTGCTTCCGTAAAGTCTATGGGGCAAGCCAGTGGAAAGCCCATGGGGCAGTTCTACTCTGTCTGTAGGTTCATTATGGGCCAGAATCAGCTTGCCAGCAATGAGTTTGGGTTTTTAGCACACCAGCATGAAGTCGCTGTGAGTCAGAATTTGACTCCATGGCAGTGGGTTTGGGTTTTTGGTGGTTATAATCCCGTTTGAGAATGGATGTTCTTTGTTATATTTATGGGGATGTATTAGAATAGTTTTGTTGTTGGATGTCATCAAATGGGTTCTGACTCAAAGACCCCATGTAAACAGAACAAAACACTGCCCAGTTCCACACCATCCTCACAACTGTTTGAACCCATTGTCACAGACATTGGGTCAATCCATCTTGTTCAGGGTCTTACCCTTTCTCATTGACCCTCTACTTTACCAACTATGATGTCCTCTTCCAAGGATTGGTCCATCCTGGTAACATGTCCAAAGTATGTGAGAAAAAATCTCACCACCCTTGTTTCTAAGGAACATTCTGACTGTACTTCTTCCAAGACAGATTAATTCATTCTTCTGAGGTCTATGGCACATTTAAGATTCTTCACCAACACATAATTCAAAGGCATCAATTCTTCTTCAGTCTTCCTTATTTGTCGTCCAACTTTCCTTATGCCTATGAGGAGACTGAAAATACCCTGGCTTGGGTCAGGTGCTCCTTTGTCCTTAAGGTGACATCTTTGCTTTTAAACACTTTAAAGAGATCTTTTGTGGTGGATTGGCCCAAGGCAATACGTCATCTGATTTCTCGACTGCTGTTTCCATGGGTGTTGATGGTGGACCCAAGTAAAATGAAATCCTTGACAACTTCAATCTTTTCTCCATTTATCATGATGCTGCTTATTGGTCCAGTTGTGAGGATTTTTGTTTTCTTTATGTTGAGGTGTAATCCATATTGAAGGCTGGAGTCTTTGATCTTCATCAGTAAGTGCTTCAAGTCTTCTTCATTTTCAGCAACCAAGCTTGTGTCATCTGCATATCGCAGGTTGTTAATGAGTCTGCCTCCAATTCTCATGCCATGTTCTTCTTGACACAACCCAGCTTCTCTTATTATTTGTTCAGCTTACAGATTAAATGAGTATGGTGAAAGGATACAACCCTGATGTACAACCTTCCTGATTTTAAAGTGCACAGTATCCCTTTGTTCTGTTTGAAGGACTGCCTCTTGGTCTATGTATAGGTTCCACATGAGCACAATAAAGTGTTCTGGAATTCCCATTCTTTGAAATTTTATCCAGAACTTGTTATGATTCACTTAGTCGAATGCCTTTGGACGGTCAATAAGACGCAGGTAAACTGGTGTTCTCTGCTTTCAGCCAAGATCCATCCCTCATTCCATGTCTTCTGAATCTGGCTTCAGTCTCTAGCAGTCCTCTGTCAATGCACTGCTGCAATTATCTGAACTATCTTTAGCATAATTGTACTTGCATGTGATAATAATATTGTTTGGTAATTTCCACATTCTGTTAGATCTCTCTTTCAATTGGTTGGCCAGGTAGCTGTTTCCTAAATTTCTTGGTATAGATGAGTGACTGTTTCCAGCGCTGCAACTGTTTGTTGAAACATCTCAATTGGCATTCCCACTGATTCCTGGGGTCTTGATTTTGGCCAATTCCTTCAGTGCAGCTTGTGTTTCTGCCTTTAGTACCTCTGGTTCTTGATCATACACTACCTCCTAAAATGGATGAACATCGACCAATTCTTTTTCATATAATGATTCAACATATTTGTTCCATCATATTTTGACGCTTCCTGTATTGTTCAATATTTTGCCCATAGAATCATTCCATATTGCAACTCAAGGCTCAATTTTTTTCTTCAGTTCTTTTAGCTTGAGAAATGCTGAGTGTGTTCCTCCTTTTTGATTTTCTAATTCCAGTTCTTTGCACATATATTGTAATACTTCTTGAGCTGCCCTTTGAAATCTCCATTCAGCTCTTTCATTTTATCATTTCTTCCATTCACTTTAGTTCCATTCAAGAGCAAGTTTCAGAGCATCTTCTGACATCCATTTTGGTCTTTTTTTTTTTTTTTTTCCCTGTCTTTTTAATGACCTTTTCCTTTCTTCATATATAATATATTTGATGTCATCCCACAATGTGCCTTGTCTTTGGTTATTAACATTCAATGCACCAAATCTATTCTTGAGATGGTCTCCAAATTCAGGTAAGATACACTCAAGGTCATACTTTGATTCTCATGGACTTGTTTTTTCTTCAGCTTCACTTTGAACTTGCATATGAACAATTGAAGGAGCTCTGGTAGCATAGTGCCTAAGGCACTTGACTGTTAAGCAAAAGGCTAGTGGTTCAAACCCACCAGCCACTCCTAGGAAGGAAGGTTGGAAAATATACTTCCGTAGTTATACTGCCTCGGAAGCCCAAGGAGGGGTCGCTATGAGTCGGGTCCGACTCGACGGCACATAACAACAACAACATGAACAATTTATGGTCTGTTCCACAGTTGGCCCCTGGCCTTGTTCTGACTGATAATACTGAGCTTCTCCATCATCTCTTTCCACAGATATAGTCATTTTGTTTCCTGTGTATTCCACCTGGTGAGGTCCACTTGTATAAAAAAACTAAACTCACTGCCGTCAAGTTGGATCCGACTCATAGCAACCCCTCCTTGGGTTTCCAAGGCGGTATCTCTATGGAAGTAGATTGACCAACCTTCCTTCTGAGGAGTAGCTGGTAGGTTTGAACCGCCAGCCTTCTGGCTAGCAGTCAAATGCCTTAGGCAGTATGCTCCCTCCACATGTATAGTATGTTGTTATTGTTGTTATGGGCCGTTGAGTCGGACCTGACTCATAGCAATCCCTCCTTGGGTTTCCAAGGCAGTATCACTACAGAAGTAGATTGCCCCATCTTCTTTCCAAAGAGTGACTGGTGGGTTTGAACTGCCAGCCTTCTGATTAGCAGTCAAGTGCCTTAGCCACTATGCTACTGTGTATAGTATAGTAACCTTTTATTTTTTTAGAAAAAGATATTTCCAGTGAATAAGTGCTTGGTCATGCAAACTTGTATCATGCAATCTCTGGCACCATTTCTGTCACCAAGGTCATATTTTCCAATTGCTGATGCTGCTGCTTTGTACTGACTTTCACATTCCAATGTCCAGCACTTATCAATACATCTGACTTCATGTTTTGTCAGTTTCAGACTGCAGGAGTTGGTGAAAAATCTTCAAATTCTTCATCATTGGCATTAGTAGCTGGTGTGTAAATTTCCATAATAGTTGTATTAACTGGTCTTCTTTGTAGGTATATGGACAGTATCCTAAAACTGACAGCAGTGTGCTTCAGGACAGATCTTGAAATGTTCTTTTTGATGATGAATATGACAGTGTCATTCCCAGTGTAGTAACCATATGATTATCTGATTCATAATGGCCGATACCAGTGCATTTCCGCTCACCGACACATAGGATGCCAATCTTTAAGCATTCTATTTCCTTACTGATGATTTCCAGTTTTCCTAGATCCATGCTTTGTACATTCCACAT